TGTTTTGTCAGCAAAAAGGCGTGCTTTGCTTTGGACACGATAGAGTGCAAATAAACATATCTGATTTTCACACACAAAGTTTGTCTTTTCCCATTGCATAAAATTACAGCAATTTCTTTCTTGAAACATTTCATGGAAATTAAAACAAATCATTCAAAATAGATATTAAACAAGGTCTTTACTTTTCTTTACTTTCTGTGCTTAAATTGTTTTTTTAAACAATTCTAATTTTGAAACGGATGTTTTAACAGCTTATAATAAACAATTGCATTGTTTTTGGCGACCACCAAACAATCTCAAAGAAGTACTTTGTTTTTGTTGTTGCTTATCAATCCAAGTCATATATTAAAGGTCAGTGTCATTGGGCTAAAGAATATGAAATCATAGATCATTTTAATTTCACGAATGTTCAAAAAAATATTAAATTTTTCAAAATGTCACAAAAAGATGTCATACTCTCGACATTTGAAGTATCATTTTTGGGCATACCGTTTTTGTGTGTCTTATGATTTGACTGGCATTTAGCCAGTATCAAAAGACATATGCTGAGACATAGAAATTTATTCACATTGCCTGAAGTTTTAGTGCAGGTTAACAATTATGTGTCCTGTCATTTTTTTTTAATTCACCCTTTCGATTTTTTAAAAAAAAATGCAATTCCTTTTTTCTTTTACAATTCATTGGATGTTTCAAAAATTATAATCAACAATTGCGTTGTTTTTGACGACCACTAAACAATTGCCAAGAAGGAATTTGTGTATGCTGTTGCTTATTAATCTAAGTCAGACAATGGAGGTCTAGGTCACCGGGATAAAGGATGAAGTATATGGAAATAAAGAACAGTATTCAAGCTCAAAAGTTCATTAAACAATACAAATCAGGAGCAGAGCAAACACGGACCTCGTTTCAGAAATTGGTCATACGTAGAGCATGCTCTTGCATATCGAATCAACTAAGAGATATAAATCCCGCATGCAGGTGATAAAGGTATATTGCTGCATAAGTAAGGGAAGTTGACGATTGAAAAGTTAAAGTCATCACGTTTATCATTAAGCTTTGATGTTAGATTACCATTAACCTCTTTTTCTAGTTAAATATCCAAATATGAAACATATGTGTCAGACTCTGTGGTATCTTTTATTTCAAGCTCATCAGAATACATATTATTGACATAAAAATGGAAATAACCATTGTTAATTGACGATATGTCGTCGATATATTTAAATGTCGAGTTGAAGGCCACAGCAGGTGTTCTCTTCTTTTCACCTATAAGATTTGGAACAAATTCTGCTTCATATGAATGCAAAAATAGGTCTGCTAATAACGGGGCGCAATTGGTACCCATGGGAATTGCAATAGGTTGTCGAAAACTCTGGTCTCCAAAAACCACATAGATATTGCCAATCAGAAACTCAAGCATTTTTTAATATCAACTTCAGAGCACTTGTGCGTACAATCAATATTTTTTAACAAAATAATTTTGCAAATGACCAGTGACAAGGTAAGTAAATTTACGAGCTCCATTTTTATTTAAAAAAAAAAAAAAAAACAGCTGTCAATGATGTCAAAAAGCCTGGATTTTAATTTATCGTGGAAAATGGTTGTATGTAAAGTTGAAAAGTCGTAAGTTTTTATGTTGTTGTTTATGGTAAAATTTTGCGATTTCAAATGTTTCAAAAGTTCCTTGGAATTTTTTAGTATCCACATCTGATTTACACCACTTCTCAAATATATTGTTGCACAGTACTCCTGAAGTTTCTCCTTCACCACTGTTTTTATTTTAGTGAGGAGTTAAGAAAGAGGCTTGGTAGAACATTTACTGGAACCCGCTATGTATCTCTGTAAGGATTTTTATGAAGTTTCGGAATCCAAAATAGATATGGTAATTCAAATTCATTTTGGTTTTTAGGAATATTAAAAATACATGTATTCAAAACTGACAATTGATTTTGAAGAATTTTCTCTTCAGAAAGGGAGCTTTGGGTATAAGTTAGATTACAATATGTAGAATTAAATCCCAGTTCCTCTAAAATACAATTTTAATTATGAGTCTTACAAACAAAGACAATATTGTAACCTGCTTTGTCAGCAAGGGCCAATATATACTGATCGTGTAAGCCACTAATTTTTTTTTCACTTCTGAACTATTGAACACTTAAGGACAGTTGGTTTTCATTTTGTCCCTAAATATATTTCAGGATATGTTGAAATTATGATCATGTCATTTAATTTGTAACCCTGATTGAAATGGAAAAAGACTATTTTCTTAGTTAATTATACTTTTTACGGTAAACCAGATTTATGATTAGTTAATATTACTCTTTTGTTCGTGTATGCAATTGATTAACCGGTATATATATATATATATATATTATTTTTAATAATTTCATCATGTTATTTATTTTGCATTTGAAATATATCTCTTGAATAATCCACTATTTAAATGAATCCCACGCCGATTCCGTTTGAAGGGATTTGATGCAAATAGAAGGGTCAAAGAATCCATATTCAACTTTGAATTGTTATACCAATATTTTATATCGTTTTTTTTATCCGTTTCCTTTTTTTCCTTCGATTTCTTCCAATGTACGTTTTTCTGCTAATTCTTTATATTACCTAAAATTACGCTATCAACTTCCTTCTGTCTTTGAGCCCTGATTGATCAGTTAACCTGTTTAAGTATTACTTATCAGCGCATATAAAAGGGAAGCAATATCAAAACCTCGAACGCTTGCAGAACTGTTCAATGACCGATGTTGAAATGATTATCATTCATCTTATTCCAACAGCTTATGTACTTTTCTTGGTCCATTTTGTCCTCCTTGGTAAGTTGATAGGATCAACATTTCTTTAAGGAGTGGATGACATACTGTAGACATACATTTTTTTCCGCGTGGGATTAATTATCGCTATGTACGCGGTCACAATTTTCCCGCTGAAATTTGTCACAGCGTCTTTAGATCCTAACAAGGACGTCGAATGAAAATCCAAGATCACCGCATTATTTTCTACGCACTGATTGACAGAAATTGTGATTAAACGGAATTCTGACTCCATAGAAAAAGTTTGTTAACTTCACAGAATATTGATTTATGTTCAAATTATAAAGAAACTTCTGTTTTTATGAGAAAAATGAGTGAAAAATGAAGACTCATGACATAAAACTGTGACGTGTCTTTAATGTCTGTCGCAAATGTTTTTCAATTCTTACATATAATGTTTTATGTTCATTACTTGAAAATAGAAACGCTGTAATACTCCTTATTTCCTTAAAGTAGAATGGCACTGTGATAAAGCTTAATGTTTTTATTAATAAAAAAGACCAATTATGCAAAATGTATTTTTTGCAAAGATGCTGTTGTCGTACCTGGAGAAATATCAAATGATGTCGCCAATCAGTTCTTAAACAGATATAAGCGTAGTGATTACAGATGTAATACAGATGAGCTTTATTGTGAAACTCACAAAGTCAGTTGTATGGTAAGTAAACCTAGTTAACTGAATTATATATGACATTGTTACATCCATTGCATATTCGACGAACATTTATTTATAATCATTTTTGAGTAATAAAGTGTTATATTTTGATATCATCGCTGTTAAATCGATAACTACCAATATCTTTATTTTGATATATTTATTCTTATTTTTTTAAATCCATAAATTGAAAAGTTCATATTATGTTTGAAAATTTTTGAGAGTCTAATGCATGCAAATTTATGCATAAAATTAAAAACATAAGCAAATAGTATAATGTACAAAATAGCAGATATTGATATTTAAAGATATGAAGTACTGTAGAAGCTCGACGTTTAGAATTTTTAAATCTCATTAAGCAACACAACGAGAACTCTAGGGAATACTACTGTGGCATAAATAATCCATGTACCTCGGGCCAGACATGTTACCTGTCAACTCCTTGTCCAGCACATTACAGTACTGGATGCACAAGTATGAAACTAAATCTTTACGAAAATGACAATATAAACTGACACGCTTTAAGTTATTTTTAATTACATTGAGCCAAAGCTTATACACCATACATGACAAGACACGAGAATTTCTCGGTTAAAATATATTTTTTGAAATTTTAATTTCGTCAGCAAATGACCCAGGTTATCTGATTTAACAAAATAAAACATTGCATTTCAACAAGAAAATAAAAAAAAATTGACAATTGACTATTAAGTCTTCTATTTATAACCCCATTTATTGATATTTACAATCAGATATTCAAAATGTGCAAGTAATTTGGGGTTGAGGAACAATATATGAGATTCTCTTATGGTTACTTAAATATATTCTTGTTTAAATAGTAGCATGTTACCTGTACTTATATTTATCAAATTTACATGCAGATTTGCTGATTTATATAAAGTTGCAACTTTATTTCTTACTTAGTAACGCAAATGTAGGTGAAAGATTAATTTATATTTAACTTCTGTTCAGGTAATGCTTGTTATGGACAACCTTGCCAGAATGGAGGAACATGCGCATTGGACTCATCTGTCAAAGGATACACCTGTCATTGTTTGAGAGGCTATGACCCAGATACAAATTGTAGAACCTGTGAGTTTGTCTAGCAACTAAGATAATTCCTTTTTATATGCAGTCTGGAGCTCCCATAAGTATTATTCCCTATCTACCATTAAATGTAAGAAGGGTGTGGTTTTTTGGTGTTTTGATATAAAACTTAGAATTTCATTTGAACAAGTAGTTTGTGTTTAATATTTTATTTTTTTATTTCTATGCATTTATTAAAACATTTATTTGAAGTATTCTCACATATATGAGCAGTTTATGCTTCAATTTTTTTTTTAAATGAAAATATAATTATGAAAAATCCAAAAGTCTGTTACTTTATCAAATATCAATCAAAAATATAAGGAACATTAAACCGTCCAAGGTACCAATGAAACTTAAATCATTTAATAAAATCATAATGAAAGGTTTTTTGAAGAGAGCTTCTATATCTCAAAGAACTTAGTTACCAAGTGAATATGCAAACTTTTCCTAAAACGTGTCACTCTGCTCAACAACCAATCATTACAGATATAGACTACTGTAGAAGCAATCCATGTCAGAATGGAGCTTCCTGTTCCTCAAGACTGAATGGTTATACCTGTAGCTGTTTGCCGGGATACAATGGTGTTCATTGTGAAAATAGTTAAGTACGATTATGCATGACGTTTTTACTTTTCATTCTTTTCAATTTATTATTGATTTTTTTGTCAAAATGACAGTACGTAGATGAAGACAAATTTTATTTTGTTATTGAAACGAAAATTATTCGCTTATAAAAGCTTCGTTCAACTTCACTTTTAGTGATTGGGGTTTTACCAGAATGTTTTATACTAATTTTATGCATGCAATATCGAAATAGTTAAATTAAGAGAACTTTTACCAAAAGTTAGTAACATATTTAAAAGTCCGTTTCGTATGTAGTCAACACGTTTATTTTTAAGACCAATCTTTAGAAAATAACGACGAAAAACCTTAAATAAAATGTATAATTTTCATTTATTGACACAAGTTAGAGAAAAAATGCGAAGTAGAATTTTGAATAGGACAATGCTTCTATAGGTTTCATTGTTAACAATGTTTTATTACATTTTACATACTCGCAATCGCTTATAGCTATGACGTCTCAACTGCTCAACTATGACGTCACAGCCTATGACACTTTGTTATGAAAAGATAGAGGCAAAGGAAAAATCTAAGAAAATGTACTAAACAGAAATTTCAATGTTTTGTAGATGAATATGGAATTTATTTCACTCGTGAGACAGAATTTTTGGTATTTTCACTCGTGCTTCGCACTCGTGAAATTATCAAAAAAATCCTGTCCCAATCGTGAAATAAATTCCATATTCATCTACAAAATATTGAATATCCTCTATTTATTTTGTATAATATAATTTTCGCTCACTCAACACTTCCTTTGTATTAAGAAGACGTAATTATTATGAGAAGATGAATGACCAGAAATCAGATGATAGGTTATCTTATCAAGGAATATGGTTTTGAAAGAATCAGTTGAGTCTAGAGCAATAGCATTCTTGTAAATACAAAATTAAAATCAATCACTATAAATTTACAATGAAAAGTAATCTGTAATGTGAGCCATGTGGTTAATAAACATGAAAAATATATTTAAAAGAAACTTCTTTTTTTTTTTTTAATCAAGCCAATACCCTTTGATCAAATCTAAATAAAATCCAAGTCTGATATCATGAAAAGCGCAAAAGGATACAATTGCATTCAAGGCAAGAACATAAGATGAGATCGCTTCTGAAAATGGAAACACGACTTTAAAATCAGGGAATGTAAATCTAGGTAACTTATATTTCTTTTCATATACAGATATAAATGAGTGTGCCAGTTCGCCGTGTAATCATGGTAGATGTGTAGATCATGTCAACAAATACACATGCACCTGTGATCCGGGATACACGGGAATCAACTGTCAAATAGGTGAGAGACCTGAAAAAAGGCGTAAAGCATATTGTCTTTCTTGGTATTTCCTCTGTGTATTACTCAGTTTTACTGTTGATTATACTCGATCAAGTGACGGTGTGATCCGACCTTCTGGATCACCACACCGTGGTTCATCATTCTCTGAAACTGACACAAAGCATACCGTTCTTTTGTTTTTGCATATCAGAAAAATCTTTTAAAATTATTAGGAGTAGCAAATAAACCTTGCTATAGGTAATATCAATTTATCTAACATAGATTTAGCATATAATGGAGGGGTATATAATATATTTAATCTAAAACAGTAACTTGTTTTGAGTAGGTTGATCTTATTAATTATCCATTTGGCCAGTGCGTATTTTACGATTAAATTCGATGCTCAGAGTCTCGCTGGATTAAATGATCTGCGCCTGTCAACTTGACGAAATCCGACTCCTCGAATTAAGTTACTATTAATATTATATGTTTTCTTTTTCCTTTTTAATTGATATGAGTATGGTTTCGTAACCCACCCTTTTCAACGAGATATGATCTTGTTCACTGTTGTGAATAGTGATACTTGATTTATTATTTACCTTGAACAAGATTAAACAAAGAATACAATTTTACTTAAAAATCGGAATGTTTTTGGAGAATTCAAATAAGAAGTTGACTTTTCAAGGAATTACTTTTTACTGCGCAAGAATTTAATGGAGTGGTCGATGAGTCATAACAGTAGTGGTTTTCCCCCTGTGGTTGTGAAATACAATAATTGTTAAATAATGGTACATTCCATCATGTGGGCGTTTTCAAATAATCCCTAGCTGATATAAAGAGATGAAAGGTGAATCGTTGGAATGGACATTGCCTCCTTCCAATGATTTTCTATATATTTAATCCAAATAGAATATTTTTTAAATTCAAAATCGTTGATACAGTCGACATTAGAGTTGTGGTGGGATTGTTGTGCAACAGCTTTACACGCATGATGGAAAAAGTCATTAGGTTTTAAATACATGTATTCAGAAAACACAGTGTGGAGATCCAAAAGGTCGAATCACACTCTGAAATATCAACAGAACAGGACAAAAGAACAAAACAAAAATTGATGGGTATATAGTAAAGACTCTTTCATCGTTTATCCCTCCCTTTTTCTGTCTGCTACTTGTTTTATTTTCTTTAACATTTTACTGATAGGGTTTGACATTGTTTGATTGGGATTTCTTGTTTCTTCCACATCAGTATATGGCTAAATTGCAGACTACCTTTGATTTTTGGTGGGGTCTAGGTTTTTTTGGACAAAATTATGACTAAGACAAAGCTTTTTTGATGTTTTTATGTTACTGTGACAAATATTCGGAATGCCCAATGAATAGAAAGGTGATGTTTACTCCTTTAGGCATCTGATCCCACCTTAGTGATCCAGTTGTCTATGTTTTTTATCCTTTCGTGATTTTGTATTTTTAGGATTTATGAAATTGATCACGGTTCGTTATTTTTACCTTTTCATTCTTTTAAATTCTTCTAGCTCAAACACTTCTCTTCTATGTAAGCAACTTCAAGATTAATACCGTATAAGTGGAAATTTTAGCGAGATAAAACTTATCCTAAAAAAATTGACATTTATTTTTAGCGAGAAGTAATTTTAGCGATTTTTAAATGCTAACTATAGAACCTATTACAAATAAAAGGCTATTAATTTTTAGCGATATTCAATTTTAGCAATCCCAGCAGCCTAGTTAATAATGCCAAAATTAAATCCTCGCTAAAAATTCTACTTATACGGTAATAGTATTCAGAAGAAATTCTCAATGATCATATTTCCTTATAGACATTAACGAATGTCAGAGTTCACCTTGTGTCCATGGCAACTGTACAGATCTTGTCAATATGTACACTTGTGAATGTCAACTCGGATATACTGGAGTCAACTGTGAAACAGGTATATAACTTTAAAATAAAATAAATCAGTTAAAAAATATACTTGAAATCCTCCGGGGTACATATTCAACTTTAAGTAGTTTAATCACTGATTGTTATATGATTAAGGGGAAATATTTTAATTCATTATAGATAATTTTTTTAAAATAGAAATCAACGAATGTGTAAGCTCACCATGTATTTATGGAGAATGTGTCGACGAAATCGCTAAATACACATGTACCTGTGATGTTTTGTTTGTCGGAAATCGTTGTGAAGAAGGTAATGTTTGTAAACTTGAGCAACAAAAATATTTTTTATTGTGATAATCATCTTTATAAAATAAATGAAACTTTTACTTATAATTTCCTAGTGAATGCAACATACATAATAACCATAGTGTTAGGATTATTGGGAATCATAACGACCATACTAGGATTGTTTATCATGTGGAGGAAAAAGAAGTAAGATTTGTAATGTTCTATTTTGATCAAGCAATACAAATCATATATCGTCATTATTGGAATATAAAAGCATGTTCCAGTATGATTATATTATATAATATGTTTTTCATTCTAGAAAGCAGATAGATTCCACACCGCCTTTTCCGTTTGAAAACATGAAACTTGGTCAAACGAAATCCCAGTTTCCTAGAAAAGCTGTACAGATGGGTAGTACTATCCCTCAACCAGATCCTATTTCGTTTCCAGATGGGAATCTTGGACAGCCAGAAATAAATTTCTGCAGCAACAGATAAACATTTTTCTCTATTTGACGAAGTCTTCAACTTTGTGACTTAAAGTGTTCGAGAACTGCATTTTAAAAAAAACACGTATATACTCGCCAATAAGCGCTTATACATGGAAGTCGGTGTTTTTTGTGGTTTTTTTTTTTTGTTTTTGTTTATGTTTTTGTTTTTTGTTGCCAGAATCTGTTTCCAAATTTATATATTAAACATTCGATGTATTAACCTCTGGTTCAAAGTATGTTTTTGATGTGAAATTAATATTTTATCCTTTATTAACAATATAAACAATATAACAATATATTAACAATATAAACCAATATAAGACCATTTGAATATGTAGGGTACTTGTGTTTTATGGATATGGTTACCTTAGAATTTTGACAGTCAAATATATCAGCAAAGAAAACTAGTGTTCCAAGGAATGCATGTGCCCTCTGCTTTATAGCATCATAAACAATTAAAATAAATCTAAGAGTGGTCAGCTTTTCATTTGCTACTAGCATTATACTTTTTCAGTCATTTGCCTGCAAAGAAAAAAAATCCATGGATAGCAAGACCAATATAATAGCACAATAAACTATCCTCCAAAAGATATTTCAGTCTGTCTTTACTGCAACTGTCAGTCTATAATGATCCTTTTTAAACTTAAATATTTTAAATTTTAGATTGTGGTTCCTGTATAGCATATAGTTTCAGAGTGCATGTACGATGCCATGAGCTCATAAACATGTGATATAAATACCAGTCATCAAAACTATATCACTCAAAATTAAAAAAAAAAAAAACAAACTAAGTTTAATCAACCGTCTAAGGTATTTTTGCAAAGAAAGTCAAAGGTCAAGGTCAAGTGGGCTGCAATGCTGATATTTTTCTATGATTTATTTATGGCAGATAGTGCATGTGCTAAATAGCATAATAGTGTACCTATCAAATGTCAAAAATATGCTATATATTTTGGTAACAAAGCCAAAGTACCAAGCAATATATGTGCGACATATCAAATCCATACCTCTTACAGTTCTCAATCTAAAAGGTGTGACAGGCGAACAGACAGAAAGACGCCGGGTAAAGTGATCCCTAAGTGTCGTTCTGCTCTGGAGGAGACACAAAAATCATGTACCAGTGGTCATTTGCATCAAACAAAATTACTTGCAAGCAAATCTTGTTTGTCGGACGCAGTAAATGCAAACGGCATGTTGTTAACCTGATCTGTCAATTTATTCATATGCAACATTTTTAAAGATACATCGTTATATGTGCGTATAATTATAATGATCGTAAGAATTATTTATCATGAGGGTAATCATCCTTTTGTTCCAGAGTAAAAGTTTCAAGTGAGCTTTCCTGATCAAATTTTGTCGGCGTCCCTCTGTAAACTCGTTTTTGAATTCTTCTCAATAATCAACAGGCTAATCTCCATCAAACTTGCCACAAAACATCATAGAGTAAATGGGATCTATAAAGGGCCACACCCTCTTTCAAGGGGAGATAATTAGGAATAAGTTAAAATTTAATGCGATCCTTTAAAAATTTTCTTCTAAAAGACCACCGAGCCAGAAAAATGAAACCTATCTGGAAGCATTCCCATTTAATGTAGATTCAAGTTTGTTCAAATCATGACGCCCATGAGTAGGATTGGGGCCATAATGGGCGATCAAAGTTTTACATAGGAATGTAGTGGAAAAACATCTTTTTAAAATCTTCTTTTCAAGAACCATTGGACCATAAAAGTTCAAACTTATGTGAAAGCTTCACTATCTAGTGTAGAATCAAATTTGTTCATATCATAGCCTCCGGAGTAGGATGGCGCCACAGTGGGCGATCAAAGTTTAAACAAAGCAATATATAGGAAAAATCTTTAAATATCTTCTTCGCAAGAAAAACCCATGATTAATCATATTTATATGGAAGCATCCTCATTTAGTGTAAATTCACTTTCGCTCAAATCATGACTCTCGGGGGAGGGTGGGGTCACAATGGGTGATAAAATATTTACATTGTAATATATATAGTTGAAAAATCTTGAAAAGTTTTCTTCTCGAGAACAGCGAAATTTTGATCATATATAATATAAATAGGAATTTTTTTTAAATCTTCTCAAGGACAGAAAAGCTATGAAGATTCATATTAATATGAAGTTTTTTTTAAAGTTTAGATTTATATTTTGTTTCAGAAAATAATCTTCAACACGACTGCAATTAAGTTGATACGAATATTTGAATATATGTATAGCGAATTCTTAAAAGAACTTATTTATGATTGCTAACATAAAATTCTCTTTCTCTTTTGATGATTATGATGTTTGTCATTATAACTTTTTTTGGTCAAATATAAAATGAATCTTTAATAGATGTGAATCATTTAAAATTTTACGTCATGACTTTATACCTTTGATTTTCAATTCGTAGATAATGTAAACGTAACAAATAAATATAACAAGAATTTATATGTTTGGTCAATGATTCCAGTGAATACTTGATTAATTCATGCAACATATTCATCCCATTACTTTACTATTTATAATTATAAAGGTTTGTCATACAATGACAATTTAAATGCAAGGAATGAATTGTTTTACAAAGCTGAAATAATCATCCAAACTACTTAAGCGCAACATCTTTAGGTATATTTTATGTCACCAGACTTCTGAACCACAGGTAATTTGGTCCTTTAAAAAATTTCTTTGATTTTATTTAATCACATATTTTTATAAACTATTTCCCAATAAAACTGTAAATCATTGTGTCCTTTAGTAGATAACTCGTTAAAAATTATACCTGATACTTACTTCACAGACTTCCTTTGTTATGCTGTTGACCCAGATTGATCAATTGACCTCGTTAAGTTAACTTATCAGTAAGTATAAAAAGTAAGCAAATGACGAAAATTTTATATTTTATTGCGTAGTTCATTGACCGATGTTGAAATGTTAATTTTCTTACCAATTCCAATTTCATATGTATTTTTACTGATCCAGTGTGCCCTTTGTGGTAAGTTATCACTTACAATTTCACGAGTTTTTAACACGAAAAGTTCAGAAACTTTAAATGATAACTGTGCATGAAATATGCATTTTTAAATAAATAATTATAAATTCAAATATCAAATAATAAAATTGATATTCCGTCTTTGCTGATTTTTACCGATAAAAGGTTTTACCAATTGATATTAATTATAATAAAAAAAAAATGTAAAATCAATTTAAAAATGGATTCCATCAGCGATTTGTATATTGCATACTGCAAAGTTTTCATACGTTATCTGATTTTTCTTGCCGCGAGGAACCTCTACATCCCGGCCTCATCAGCCAATGTAGAAAGATTATTCAACGTCGTTGAAAAAATGTTCCAGAGTGGATTGAGAACTTTTAAATTGCTACCGAAGGCGCTCTGTACTTATATGCAAGAAAGAGATTCATTTTGAGAGAAAAGTGGTAAAATTATTCCATAAATATACGTACGTAACAAACGAAAACTTTTGATTTTTTTCTTCATCTTTTCTCTTCAAAATTATTGAATTTTTTTTTTCGTCTTCTGGTTTGTTTTGGAGTATAATTAAATATTCAATCTCTCTAACCATCTCGCAAACATTGATTTTGTATGGATTTCATAGTATACAAATATTGACTGGGGTTGAGGGTAACATTGATTATGTTAGCCTGCAAGGGGTGAGCGGAGGGCAATATTTTTGTCCCGGGCGGGCTAACATAATTTTGCCCGTAAACACACACAAATATTGTTTTGTTATATGAAAAACAAATCAATATAATAGTATTCTGATTTTATTCAATAACATTCGGCAACTTAACTGTGTCCAATGCACGTTGATTGTATTTGTAACGAATCTTCAAGTTGCCATGATTGTGTTACTTGTCTTTTTTTTATGTGACATTATGTTTTTGGAAGAAGCGACGGTATTATACGTCACAATAAATCAGTTCACTAATCAGAATCAAAATCAATAATATAGTGGGAAAACTCTCTTTACCGGTCAATAATAACAATTAAATAACAGTCACTATCTTTCGGAGAAGGACTGTTAAAGAATATAGAGACTTTCCTTTACTACTTTACTAAATATAAAAAAAAATACTGCATACAATTTTAAATACTTTTTGGAACTCAAAAATATATGCATGGTATTTCAAAAAAAAACGTATCCTTTAAGAACATTTTGTAAATTTGTTTCTGGTACACTTTGAACCAATAAAGATGATGTTGATGTACAATACAACTTCCTCCTCTAAATTAAAAAACGCGCTTAATTGCATCAATATTTCCAATGCTTATCAAGTCTAACTCGCTTTTATTGAATTTTATTGACGTAAATCTTCTAGTGTCTTAAAGTATTAGAGAGAAAGAAAAATATGCAAAATCCATTTTTAAGCAGAAACTGTCGCTGTACCAGGGGAAATACAAGATGATGTTGCCAATCAGTTCTTAAACAGATATAAGCGTAGTGATTACAGATGTAATACGGATGAGCCTTATTGTGAAAGAAGCAAAGTCAGTTGTATGGTAAGCAGGAGTTATATAACATTTACTGCACTCGTTAAGAGATTCAACAAACACATTCTTTTTTTTTAATGCTAAAAATCCTTTGCAGTGATAATGTGTTCATTAGAATAAATAGTTATAAATAAAAATATTGTTTTAGTTTTATAATTTTGAGATATTTCTCGCTAATCCTTTAATCACATGTATGGTGAATCAGAAATTTTGATCCGAGTAAAAGCTTAAAACACATTTCAAGCAAAAAATTAGAGAGAGAAAACTTCGTGTATATTTTGAAAGACTGCTTCTTAATTTGAATTCAAATTGAAAAAGTAATATACCGGTATGTTACTTGATTTGTAGATCTTTCTGACCTAGTTTATACTTAGAACAATACAATTTATTTGTTTTCTTGTCAAAAATTGATAAAAATATTAAGTACTGATAACCATCCAAATTTATTGTTGTTTAAATTTTGATAAAGCAACACAACGAAAACTCCAGGGAATATTACTGTGGCCGCAATAATCCCTGTACCTCAGGGCAGACATGTTATCTGTCAACTCCTTGTCCAGCACACTACAGGACAGGCTGCACAAGTATGAACATATAATTGCATTTACCATAAATGTTTACATCACTTTATACACGTATTTAGTATTCATATGTACCCTTAATGGTTATACCACCAGATATCAATTAACAGATCTAAATCTTACACTCTGCACAGCCTCTTTCTTTAATCTTTGCCAAAATATGCAGTGAATGAGAAATTTGAGGAGAACTGTTCAACAATATATTAGAGAAGTGTTGTTAAATCAGATGCAGATAAAAACTCCAAAGAAGTTTTAGAAAATTTGAAGTCACAAAATTTTCAAAAATCAATAACATCAAAACATATGACTTTTCAACACTTTATACAACCATTGCCCACTAGAAATTAAAGTCCAGGCTTTCTTTCATAAAAACAGCTCCTTTTTCAATGAAAATGGAGCTTGTTAATTTACATACCTTGACACTCGTCATCTACAAATTAATTTTGTTAAATAACTTTTTGTTTGTACATACTCCGAATTTGATAATTAAAAAATGCTTGAGTTTCTGATTGACGATATCTATGTAAATTTTTGGAGATCAAGTCATCTAACAATCTTTCAGAAATCCATTAGTACTAATAGCGTCCTGTTATTAGCAGACCTTTTTATGTATAATTCATATATGAAGCAGAATTTATTTGAAACTTCTATTAAGAGAAGAAGCCTCTTGCTGTGGCCTTCACTTCGTCATCAAGATATAACATGACATTTTAGAAATCAACAATATTCATTTTCATTCCTATGTTGATTCGATATATCCCTTTGAACGCAAAATAGATACTTCACAGACTGACACATCTGTTTTATATTTTGATTATTCACTAGAAAAAGACATGAATGGCAAACTTAAGTATAAGAACTTCATGAAGATTTCAGCTTTTCTATCGTAAACGTCAATTATTTTGTAAGAATATACAATTATCACCTGCATGTGGAGTTTATGTCCCCATTAGATTCGATACGCAAGAGCAACCTCTACGTACGAAACATTTTTTAAACGAGACAAGTTATTGACAAAAACAATTGACGTAACAAGAATATCAACAGTCCCGTTTAAAATCATATTCTATGGCCGATGACCTAGTTAGCAAATACAGTCTATCGTTAAGTCAAATGTTGACAGACATTAGGCCATCAATTGTTAGGCCATCATTTTCACATTGAATCTACGGATTTTTCCGTTTTCCCGTTCAGGACAAGGAGCACACAGTGGATATAACCTGTCAACAGGGGATGTTTACTCCAACATGGCATCTGATCCTACTATGATGTTCTTGTTATTTGAAACAGAGATCAAAACTAAAGTAAAAAGAAAACACGGTTTTAGCATATAATGATCAAGTTTATTGTTGTTAAGAGCCATTACTTTTGTTAATCATGCAAACACCTTTGTACATATATAACTAAAATATGTACAGATAGCCAGCTGGATATATTTCATTCAAGGATCAATTAGAATAACAAAGAATGGACTAACAGGCCAGTGAACAATTTTCCCAAAAGTAACATTCCAATATCAGTATTCGTAGTTATATTTATCTATATGCCTGAATTCTCCAAATTTGCATTTTAAACATTAAATTGATTATTCGCAATTTCTAAGATGAGCCTTCCGTTTTGGCTTAAACAGAATTTTTCCTGTTTAAGTACAGATTTTTGAATGAAACTTTACCTTAAAGTCCTTCAGGTCTCCATCTAAATAGAATTCTGAAATTTTTATAGATTCCGATCTAAGGATTAATTTATTATGTTTTTAATAGGAGCATCCATCCCGTGTCAACCGGTCACACCCGCCGTGTGCTTATTGTCATGGCCGGGCAAACGGAAAAGTTTGTCAGTCAGCGTTCGACTTAGTGATAGATTGTATTTGCTGACTAGGTCATTGTATCGACCATAGAATTTAGGAAATGTTGACTTTAAACGAAATTGTTGATATCCATTTTTCATCACCAAGGTCTTGTCAATAGCTTCCCTTGTTTTAGAAATTGTCTGTACACTTTTGCGTTTACTTTAATTCAACTTGAGGAATAGTTGTATACAGTGCTGAAAAGTCATACGTTTTGAGGTTATTGATTTTGATTACAATTTTTTCTAAAAGTTCCTTGCAGTTTTTTTAAAAGACGAAAACCAAATCCGATCCAGTATCTTATTAAATACTGAAGTGGACCTTTGCAGAGTGGGAACTTTGTGTAGTACTTTAATACTCATTAAATTTTGATATTTGTTTGTTAAGGATAAATTCATATTGCACTTTTTTAGGTAACGCTTGTTACGGACAACCTTGTCAAAATAGCGGAACATGCACCCAAGACTCATCTGTCAAAGGATACAACTGTCGTTGCTTAAGAGGATATGATCCCGATACTGATTGTAGAACACGTGAGTTTAATATCTATTCAGAATTGACATGCGACCGAAAACCCACATACGTTACATCCCCTTACCGGACTTTAAATAAAACAAATAATATATTTCTTTTCTTCACAACTCGTACATAAATCAACAGGTTGTGCTTTTAGGATTTTAAAAATTGTATTGAGAAAAAAATCCAACTAATTTTTTTATCTTTCATAATTCCAATATTTGGTACATGTATATAAAATATCAAGTACACTTACTGCCTTTTCAAATACATGTCTGACAGAGCGTATAAACTTTGAAGGCCCCATTGAAATTTCAATCATTTAGTATATAACTAAGATAAATGTGTCCTATTGATTCATGATATCTCTAAGAATTCGTCAGATATCTGAATGCAAAGCTTTTTTTTTAATTTTAACAAAAACCTTTACAGATATAGACTACTGTAGAAGTAATCCATGTCGAAATGGAGCTTCGTGTTCATCAAGACGGAATGGTTATAACTGTAGCTGTTTGCCAGGATACAATGGTGTTCAGTGTGAAAATAGTAAGTATGATTGGGTAAATAATAATCTAAACTATATACATATATGTTCGAAATAAGTAGTATTAATATCATAAAAAGTATCCTATATTAGAACAAAGTGAAAACTGAAGGTGAAATGAAGACGACGATTAATTGCTTCAAAAGACTTTAAAAAGCACCACTTTTAGTGACTTTGGTCTTCGGAGTTTTAGTAGCCATTGCTCATAGTAAATTGATTCAATTAGACCTTAAATTACAGAAGTTAACATGGGCAACTAAATGAACTGAAGTATTGTACAACATTATGTAAACCAGCAGTTGCACCAGGAATCTTCATAATCATAGACAAATACATACATTCATATTTTTGGAGATGTAATCTTCTTAGATTTATTTCTTTTTATAAAGATATAAATGAATGTGCCAGTTCTCCATGTATTCATGGTAGATGTGTTGATCATGTCAACAAATACACATGTACCTGTGATCCGGGATACACGGGAATCAACTGTCACATAGGTAAGCTAAAGATAAATGTAAAATGTATTTTGTAAAATTCATTATTCCCAAATCAGAGAATCAAGGGTGGCTAAAGTCCTTTTCGTAGTCTCTCAATTCTAATTCCTGTCATTTCCTCATTTCTTTTTTCTATGTTGGAGATTTTTTTTCAAGATTTGGTATATTGTTGTATATTGTTCCTGTTCTAAAAATTAATAAGGAAAATTTTGAATAAAAGCAAAACTAAAAACAACAAAAACAACAAAAACAACAAAACAAAAACAAAAATGCAAAAACGAAAACAAATTATGCATTTTGCAAGAAGCAAAGTTAAAGACTGGGAAATAATTTTTTTTTAAAATTCATTTTGGCCTTCAGACATAACACTTATACGAATTTGAATGCAGGAAAATGTATGCATTTGTGACTTGTATTTTATATTGATAAGGAATTATCAAATACGAAGTATTTTAATATACCGGACTATCAAAACTACAAGCCAAAATAATTTTTTTTTTTAGATCAATCTGTAGCTGGCGATAACGCAATCGCTATTTCACTTTTTAACGAAAATCAACGGCAAATTTCAAATTAGGCATTTTGTTGAAGATTGTGCGTCCAGAAAATTATTAATACCTGTAAAAATAATTCTATTTAGTTATAAATTACATTTAAATATCTCCGAAAACCAATTTGTTGCCTCTCACTTTACAATAACCGATCAAAGATTTCTACATATCACATCAATTTACCCCATTGTTATATTTATATTTAACTGTAGAAATCGACGAGTGTTACAGTTCGCCATGTACATGTATCCCTGGAAACTGTAAAGACCGCATCAATATATATACTTAAAATTGTGAACTTAGTTATACTGTTATCAACTGTAAAACAAGTTATATCTTGTATCGCATCTTTACTGTATTGAACATATTGACAAATAACCAACAGAATCGGAATCTAGTTCTATCAACTTAGGAGTTTCTCTCATTATCTTTATAACTCGCACGTGTCTCGCAAACTTTTTCATTAAATTTCTCCCTCTAATTTTTATTAAGTCGCCCGAACAATTCCAGGCGACATATTGCTACTGCTAGACCAAAAATTTTGTTCTCTAATGTTCTAGCGGAGTGCCGGTAGAATCTTAATGAATCTTCACAGATATGTTAATCACCAACTTTCAATGTGCAATTTGTATACGGGGTTTATATCTCTCAGTTGATTCGATACGCAAGAACATGCTGTATGTGTGTGCAATTTCTAAAACGAGGTAAATTATTGACAAACAAGTTGATGAAACAAGAATGTCAGCAGTCTCGTTTAAAGTCATCATTTCGTAAGTTCTATGGTCGATACAATGACCTTCTCAGCAAATACAGTTTATTATTGAGCCAAATGCTGACTGACGTTTTTCATACTAATTGTTAGGCCATTATTTATACACTGAATTGTCGAAGGATTTTTCCGTTATTTCCCGATCATGACAAGGAGCACACGGCGGGTGTAACCTATCGACAGGGGATGTTCACTCCTCCATGGCACCTGATCTCACCTCTAATGTTTTGGAGGTCCGTGTTTGCTCTGCTCCTATTCTGTAATGTTTAATGGATTTTTGAGCTTGAATACCGTTCGTTATCTCCATATATTTCATTTAGATGCTAAATTTTAACTTTGGCAAAGAATTTAAAATGTTTGGTCCAGAGCTAAAATATCTATGAAAATAAATTATTTTCTGGATTTCAACATATAACACTAGAATGTGTTAAGGCTTAAAAGCTCCCATTTTATAATACATTATTCAACCATGATGTTAAGAAACCAGAAATCCAATCACATTTATGTCTTCCACTTCAGAAGAATTTATTTTCTTATTTTATCAAAGTAAGAATAAGTGCACATCAGTTGTGTATATTGTAGATATTGTAATTCTGTCATTTCCAGAGAAATAGATTTTGTTTCCATTGTAAAACTATTGTTGAAGACGAAAAACATTTTGTGCTTGATTGTCCTATGTATGAACATGCTAGAAAAAAGTTCAAAATTACTAGATGTCAATACCTTATTTTCTTTAGTAAATCCAATTAACCTTATATCTACAAAGCAAATCAGAGACTGATTTAATGTTAGGAACAAGCTTGCTACAGATTAATATTTTGTAATATGTCAATGAATTCCATGGAAATTTAATATTTCTCTGTGACTGCTCAGCCAAAATTTTTTGAAACTTAAAAGGATTGTACTCTGTCAAAGTGTTTCTTACCAAAACAATTGGAATCGGTTGCACAAAATTTGTAGCAATGTTATGGAAATAGCGAATTATGTCACGTGACAGTTGTGTAGGTACGTCGTTTTGGACAACGCTGTGCTTACTGTGCTTTCAACTCCAATAATGCAGTGTTGAGATAGGTTTGTGATGACATATGCTATTACTTGCAGAACAAAAAATTATGTTTTATTTCTCTTCAAATACTTTAACCGTCTACTATATCTTTGTGCTGTTACATAATTTGATCAGATAAATATTTTCCTTGCATCTAAGTAGCTTCAGTATAAATATTCACAGTCATCAAATATTTTGACCTTATAGACATCAATGAATGTCAGAGTTCACCATGTGTTCATGGCAACTGTACAGATCTTGTCAATATGTATACTTGTGAATGTCAACTCGGATATACTGGAGTCAACTGTGAAACAGGTGGGTGATTTACATGTAAGATACATAAGAGAAAAAAGAAATTTGTCAACTCTTAGTGAAACGTATTGAATGATGTTGATGATCATTTTTCTATTATATATACATTGTATAATTTTGAAGAAATCAACGAATGTGTAAGCTCACCATGTTTTTATGGAGAATGTTTCGACGAAATCGCCAAATATACATGTGTCTGTGACGTAATGTTTGTCGGAAATCTCTGCGAAAAAGGTAGGTTCATTGTAAATATCAGTTCATAGTAAAAAACACAAAAAAATATATTATTACAATTTTGCTATCAAAAATTGCGTTTGATGGAATAAATATTATTTTAACTCTTATCATGTCAATCTTCAAATGAATATTTTAGTGAATACAGCATATATAATAACCATAGCGCTAGGAATGCTGGGAATCATAACGACCATAATAGGATTGTTTATCATGTGGAGAAAAAAGAAGTAAGATATTTAATTTTCTAAACTTGAACAACCAATGCAAATGATATATACCAATATTTTGAATACGAAAGTTATCTCCATATATGTTTTTTCTCCATTAATTTATTTTAGAAATAAGATAGATTCTACACCACCTTTTCCGTTTGAAAACATGAAACTTGGCCAGCCGAAATCCCAGTTTCAGCGAAATGCTGTACAGATGGTTCGTACTATTCGGCAACCAGATCCCGTTTTGTTTCCGGATGGAAATCTTGGACAGCCAAATTAATTTAATTCTGCATCAACAGATAAAGGCTTCTTTCTTCTGTACATGAATAAGTTTTATACTCGTAGGCTTAAAGATGCTCGTGAAATGCATTTTAAATATTGATGAAAGGAAAGTTATTACTTTTTAGTAGTTTTCTTTTAATTTTGACACTGTCGAGACATATAAATAGAGAATAATCTACATGTATGTACTTCGTATCATGTGTATTAAATAAATCAGTCTTTTATTTTATTAAGTGATTGACAGCTAATGCATTTTTTACGTTTTGGTTGTGCTTTTAAATCATATTTTTATTAGCAGATATTTTAAAATTTAGAATAAAATAAAGCTCATTATGGGAATTTTTGTGTAATTTTAAGAACTTTAAGCATTGTAAAAAATCAAACTCTGCTTAATTTAAGTAAATCTTGCTACTTAATTAATACATCTACGTGGAAACATGTTTGAAAAAGGTTATGATAACAATGAGAATTTTTTTTTCTCGTATATCCTATGAACAATACAGATTGAATACAGGGCAAAGGTACGGACCTCTGGAAATATCAGATATAAACAGATGCACAGAGGGAATAAGTGTACCCATATCGACCGACCACGTCCGCCATGAACCCTCCAGATTAATAAGGTAGACTGTGTGGATTCACAATTGGTACGAAAGATATTTTTATTTGCAAGCATACGTTATAATAATGATAAATTTCTAAAACGAGGTAAGTTATTGACAAACAAATTGATGAAGGGCTTCAAATATGAATCTGTGCTCAGGACTCAGGGCTATTGAGAAGTGAGGGTTCTTAATCGTGCCAACGCCTACTGTGATATGAGACCCGGTTTTTAATGTCTCATCAGAATAACCGGTGACTTTCACTTCTAATGTCAGGCGCTTTGCAAAAGAACAGTCACTACCTATGTTTACGTCTGAGGCGACGTACGCGAATGAGAATCGAACCCGGTCCTCCCTATCACGAAGCCAATGTCCTTATAACCAGGCACCCACGACTGGTTTGATATTTGACTGGAGAATGTGCTTTGTTTAAAAACTCAGTAAAATAATTCTATTGATACTGATTTATTTGAGTAAATGTAATGTAAAAATTAAACATACATAGTTCGGGAATGTAAATATGTTATACTTTAAGATCTCTTTAAAGAAAATGTATGATTCAATTTTTACGCAAGATCAATAGAATTATTGAAATGAATCACAGATGAAAATGTGACATAATGAGGAAAATTGAGCCAGTGGTATCAGGTATTTTGCCTATTTAAAAAATCAATGAAAAAATTAAAAGAATCAGAAATGACGTCATAATGTACATAAGGAATGGATACACCTTTTATATGTATGTCCAAATATCACGTCTCTGCTGTTAATGAATCAAAAGTTACTTTGCATTTACTTTAATAACAGACGGTCAAATCACATGTAGACAACATAAATACATTCTAAATGGAGGCTCCCGAATAACCAGTATATAGGATGTCTATTTCTATGTCTATTTCGATGTCTATAGGATGTTTATTTTTACAAAATATAGGGGAAAAAAATGTCATATCTTTTAAATTTTCTTGAAAAGATCATCGATTATTGACATTATAGCGATTTCATTCCTTTTTGTCTGATTTGTCCTAGAAGAAATAAGTTAAACTTGATTTCAAGGAACTCCAGCATACTTTAAATATCAGCTTCACTTGTGTGTAGGAAGAGTCATATTTACAAAGTAATTTTGTTGATTTCAAGTACCTGCTAAAGAAAACAACCTTTCTTTATGTAGCAAAATATTGATTGAAGGCCAAAAACTCAAAGTTTAAAACAAAAAGTGCAACATCTATTTCAAAAAAGTTGCTTTGCAATTTATAAATGCATTGCAAAAATATATGTAAAAGGTGAAGATAACGAACAGTAATTAATCTCATAAATTCAGTAAAGAAAACGAATTGTGTATGATGGGATCATGCATGATGCATATGTTCAATATGCAAATGCGCACTGGGTTAAAATGTTCCATTTAAATCATTTGAATCATTCAGTTGTACGCTTAACTTTACAATAGACGCAAGTTTTCTTTTATAAACAACCGTCACGGTACATGTAGCTCAGTTGGTAGAGCGCTTCTCAGTGATCGAAAGGTCGTGTGTTCGAATCACGGATGTGACTGACCTAAGTCGATAAAAAATAGGTAGCAACTGTTCCTTCGCCAAGCGCTCGGCACTTCCTTCGGATGAGACCTTAAAAACCGAGGCCTCACGTTACGGTAGGCACGATAAAGAACCTTCACTGCTCAATGGTCCTGAATGCCGAGTCAAGGTCTAAATTTGAAGCCCTTCACCGATATATGGTGACGTCTCTACATGAGTGAAAAATTCTCGAATGGGATATTAAACAACATACAATCAATTAATAAATCAATCTTTTATAAACTTCATAAACGTCAATTTCTCATAATGAAGGTATTTCAAAAGATTTTGTTATGCTATACTTGTATTTAGCGTGGCATAATTCCAACCTAATTGTGACCTTCAACTATTGGTTACGGATCTTCTGAGGTATGAATTATCGACTGTGAACACAGCTTATTCTCTAAAAGAGTTTTGATTCAAGTTGTTTTTTTTCTCCATTTTTTAATTCGATTACAATGTCAACACTGAAGAAATCCGCAGCCAGACTTGAACAAAGGTTAACAGTTCAATTACAAAGTCAACAGGTTAGTACTTCAGATGTAGCGGTAATCTCGAATGTGTTATCTTGAAGGCTGCCTGAATGTATCCCAAAATCTTAAAAATAATAATATTATACAGGGGATTACTGTACGTGTACTTAAAAAAGCAGGCTTCATATTTTAGCGAAGGTCCTTATAATATATTTTTATGAAGTGGTAATTGAATAACACAGCAACCTTATTAATTGGTCGGGCAAAGTTAAATACAAAGACATTAGGGATGATATTGATAATAGTTTGAGTCTTAGTAAATTCATACAAAAAATTGAAATAAAAGCGCCCATACTACATTGACTTGACCATAGAAAATTTATATGTATTTAGCAACTCACAAATAGTATGTATGATATCCACAAAGAAATAAAAGCTCGACTCGACATCAAACTTGCAATAAGAGTCCCGAGTGCCACAGCAATTACATGAATCACCATTGCATCATTTTTGGCCTATCATTAAACCGGACACGGTAGCCTAGTGGTAGAGCGCTCGCTTCGTGATCGGGAGACCCGGTTCGATTCTCTTTCGCAGCGCCGCATCAAACCTAAGACACACATAAGTAGTGTCTGTTACTTTGCCAAGCACCCGGCACTAGAAGTGAAAGTCACAGGTCTTTTGGATGAGACCTTAAAAACTAAGGTCACATGCTATGGTAGGCTTTGGCAAGATTAAGAACGCTCACTGCTCGATGGCCCTGAGTGCCGAGTAAAGGTCTAAATTTGAAGCCCTTCACCGGCATATGGTGACGTCTCTATATGAGTAAAGAATTCTCGAATGGGACATTAAACAACGTATATACAATCAATCAATCAATCAATCAATCCTAGTGCATTGACTTTACCAACTTTAGGATGCTTAATTATGTTAGGAATTATTTCCTATTTTAAGTACAAGAGTGATGATATTTTTAAGAAATTATTTTTTAAAGTTTACCAATTTTGATTTTTATTTCAATGAATATAAGCTAACTATATATAGGTATATTGAAAATGTGTTGCTCAGTACAGTTGCACCTGTGATGATGTATTGTTTGTGAGAATCCAAGATAAGGACAAGTTACATAAATGTGTGTGAAAGTAATTAAAGTCATATATGGCGTATTTTTGATAAGTTCAGACAAACTAAAATTAAAAAGATCTTTCTATTTGTTTTATTACTTTATATTAAGATAGAATTTTCCTGTAAATTACACAATTTAAATCAATCGCATTTCATAGATATCAGAAATTTAAAACAATAACTGATTTATTTACCGACTCCCCATTTAAATATCAGACACAGTTTAAAGTCAATTTAACTATAGAAACGTGGGGTTATTCAAGTTCAAAACCGGTGAAAATTTTAATTTGAACGTAAATCACAAATACCATGATCATATACACTCAATCTCGTATTTTTATTTTTATCAGATACGCCATATATCGCTTTAATATTCGTAGAAACTCACTGTCTTACCTGTCATCGATCGCATTATTTTACAGTTGCCTCTATTATATAGAGCTGTTTTAAGGGAGAAACGTTTGAATACATGCATGATTGATTTCCTTGCGTGTATATAGACATTATTTATTTGTCTACAATGTACTCTAGAATAGAGCTTTATATCCATCTTGAATTTTGAATGTAGTTTGTAGGAAATTGTTATGCATAAAAGATTAAATGATATATTACATAAATTCATTATATTATCTTTGTAAACTTTAATTTTCAATATTTTGATATTTTGAATCGATTAACTCTTTTAATGAAGAACATAAATATCGTCAAGGAGTAAACATTATCTGGCTACAATGATAGACATGTTTATCATCAGGAAAAAAGTAAGACAATTAACTTTTTAAAATTTAAGTATGAAATTTACATAGAAGTAATACATCGATGACTTAATGTACATTTGTTTGTTAACATATGATGTTAATAATTGGTTTGGGTTTTATTCTAAAAGAAAAAGAAGTATGTTGTATCTTCTTTTCTATTTGAATAAAAAAAAGATTTGGACAATTTAATCACCTATCCACTTCCAATGAACTAGTCTAGATCCTTAACAATTGTCATTTCATTTTTCTTCATTATTGCATTTTACTTCTATTTCAGAGACTTTTTTCAGGACTTTTCCTTTTTTAATGTATAGTCTCTATAATAAATTTACACAGGATGAAAGGTGACTGAAAGTTTACTGAATGGTGACTGAATGACAGAGTTCTGCTTTTCGATCACATCTCCAAGCATTTCAGTGCCATTTAGTTGACTAATTGGCAAAGTTTCGTCCTGCTTTAAATAAAACAAAAAATATTAGCTGATGTCCAGTTTTAAAGATTTTCTCCCTTGACTAGAAAATCCGAATTCTGAAATTAACACACTCTCAGCGGAAACGAACTTTCATGTTTCTGCTCTGGATTCAAGCCTTTTAAGCTGATTGAATTATGAAAGAGAGCTATTTTGAAAAAAAAAAAAGTAAAGTAAAACGATTTTTGGACTTTTGAGCTTGGATGCTGTTCGTTATATCCATATTTCATTGCTCTAAAAATGATAAGGATGTACGTTACTGTAGTAACGTAAATTAGGACTGACCTCTAATGTCCTATTGTCACAAAATAACATCAACATTTGTGAGCAAAAGTAAGTCGCTGTTCTGCTCTCGATTTGTTTGAAAAAAAATTCTGTAAAAAGAAATTATTGAATCGTGACTTTTTAGCTGAAATATATTCCTTTGACCCCTATTTGAATACGCATAGGACTAGGTTTCCTCAGTTGAGTTTGAAGGACTTGAAAAACTTCAGTTATAATCTGCACGTATTGTAAATTGCCTTCCATTTTTCCTTGTAATTCTTGAAACAGAGAAAAGAGTGAGATATGTATGTGTAACAGTAATCGTTCTGTCTAACAGAGAAAAGTGTTGGATATGCATGTGTAACAGTAATCGTTCTGTCTAACAGAGAAAAGTGTTGGATATGCATGTGTAACAGTAATCGTTCTGTCTAACAGAGAAAAGTGTTGGATATGCATGTGTAACAGTAATCGTTCTGTCTAACAGAGAAAAGTGTTGGATATGCATGTGTAACAGTAATCGTTCTGTCTAACAAAGAAAAGTGTTGGATATGCATGTGTAACAGTAATCGTTCTTTCTAACAGAGAAAAGTGTTGGATATGCATGTGTAACAGTAATCGTTCTGTCTAACAGAGAAAAGTGTTGGATATGCATGTGTAACAGTAATCGTTCTGTCTAACAGAGAAAATAGTGAGATATGTATGTGTAACAGTAATCGTTCTGTCTAACAGAGAAAAGAGTGAGATATGTATGTATAACAGTAATCGTTCTGTCTAACAGAGAAAAGTGTGAGATATGTATGTGTAACAGTAATCGTTCTGTCTAACAGAGAAAAGTGTGAGATATGTATGTGTAACAGTAATCGTTCTGTCTAACAGAGAAAAGTGTGAGATATGTATGTGTAACAGTAATCGTTCTGTCTAACAGAGAAAAGAGTGAGATATGTATGTATAACAGTAATCGTTCTGTCTAACAGAGAAAATAGTGAGATATGTATGTGTAACAGTAATCGTTCTGTCTAACAGAGAAAAGTGTGAGATATGTATGTGTAACAGTAATCGTTCTGTCTAACAGAGAAAAGTGTGAGATATGTATGTGTAACAGTAATCGTTCTGTCTAACAGAGAAAATAGTGAGATATGTATGTGTAACAGTAATCGTTCTGTCTAACAGAGAAAAGTGTGAGATATGTATGTGTAACAGTAATCGTTCTGTCTAACAGAGAAAAGTGTGAGATATGTATGTGTAACAGTAATCGTTCTGTCTAACAGAGAAAATAGTGAGATATGTATGTGTAACAGTAATCGTTCTGTCTAACAGAGAAAATAGTGAGATATGTATGTATAACAGTAATCGTTCTGTCTAACAGAGAAAAGAGTGAGATATGTATGTGTAACAGTAATCGTTCTGTCTAACAGAGAAAAGAGTGAGATATGTATGTGTAACAGTAATCGTTCTGTCTAACAGAGAAAAGAGTGAGATATGTATGTGTAACAGTAATCGTTCTGTCTAACAGAGAAAAGAGTGAGATATGTATGTATAACAGTAATCGTTCTGTCTAACAGAGAAAAGTGTGAGATATGTATGTGTAACAGTAATCGTTCTGTCTAACAGAGAAAAGTGTGAGATATGTATGTGTAACAGTAATCGTTCTGTCTAACAGAGAAAAGTGTGAGATATGTATGTGTAACAGTAATCGTTCTGTCTAACAGAGAAAAGTGTGAGATATGTATGTGTAACAGTAATCGTTCTGTCTAACAACAAAATCACAAAATGCCTTTCCGTCTGAGATAAACCTTGAAATTGTTCAAGCTTTTAAAAATAACTCTTTTCAAAGGGAAAGCCAACCGCCCAATTTTTCTTAAATGATAATCCATAGCTCCTTGAATCAAATCTGTAGAAGGTTAGATTTTCAAATTACTCTAATAATGGTGTTTGTAGATTTACGAGTGAAAATACTGGACATTACTTTATTCACTGTGAAAATTATTATATATTAGAAGTTTCTAATGACCAGCATAGTCATTCCTAGTTCCTACAAGCCCTTTCCCATTCTATTCTTTGCACTCCATTTCCCTTCTCCCATCTCTTTGCATTCTAGAAGTATTTATTTGTTGGATTTTATATCACAATTCTTTATGTGTTTATTTTCTTTGTATTGGAGAGCACAATTTAAATATAACTTTACGTAGTACATTTTTATCGATTGTGTTTCAATAAAAAAAATTTTAAATCAAAATCATAAAATGTCGAAATGTTCAACCAAACCTTTGATTTATCTAGAAATTTACATTTATTTGGTATAGGATGACAAGAAGAGCATGTCATTCTGTGTACATCTTCAGCTTAAAACGATGATATTTTGATTGCATGTAAACAATATATTTGATAATTCTATATTCAGTCTTTCAAAATTTCACTCTAAGTGCGACTTTCTACTATAGGCTGCATATCGGAAATTCCAGTAAGGTATGTGTTATCTACCGTGAACACATCTTTTTCTCTGCCAGAATTTTGGTTCACGATTTCCACCTTTAACCGTCGTAAAACAATAGCAATGTAAACACTAAAGAAAACAGCAGCTAAAACACCAATAAGTGTAAACACTGCAATAACTAAATCGGCCGTTAAGCTTCTTTTGTTGCCACTGTCTTGAGTACATATGTTCTCAGTCTGAAGGCGACCTAGAAGTAGACGAGACTTTTATAATAAAATAGTGTAGTAGAACATTTATTGAAATTTAGCTAAAATTCGAGTGATTGGAATAGTTCTAATGATACGTTTAGCAGAGCAAGCTTTTAGCATTCCTTCTTTTTATTGCACTAATTCCTGTACACATCAAACAATGAAATTACCCTGTAATGATGGCTTTATTTCGGGATTTACTTGGGATGTTGACGATGTGGACGTTGAATGTGCAGTTGTTGAGATAGCTGATTTATTTGTCGTTGATTGCCCTGTTATTAATTGATAAATTATATACTACTAAACTGGAAAAACAAAACATAAAGCTATTTCACATTTTTATTTAGAATCTAACTCTTGCAATCAAAATAATTTTAAAATAAACTGCATTGGCATGCATTAAATAATGACATCTAACAACAAGGCTCACATTATTCGTCAAACTATTGATTGTGAATTATCCTTTTCTTTTAAAAATTGAGATGCAGAATAACATATACCAAGAAATATTTCATAAAGCCTGAACAGTACAGTAAACTCCTCAAAGAAAATCATTATCATATCCCTCTGCTTATTCAATTGATTTATATTGTATTTTTTTTAAATCAATGTTTTTTGCCTGATCCATCTAATAAAATAATGTATTGAGGCAGTAATATATTAAGTTGTTTATTTTTTTTAAGTAGGCGTTTCCGTCTCTTGATGCGTAAAGAATTTCAGAAAACATCTTGACTGCTTACCACAGACAGGTATGTTGCATCTTTCCCATCTTTTACCAGGAGCTGATGACAAACACCAGGGAAATTCTGCTCCATCTGGAGATCTGCAATAATTTTCCAATTCCCCGAAAACTGCATAAGCCTCCTCTGATTCCCAACGACGACATACATACCCCGTCTCCGTGATAGCAATTTTTCCTGTGTACATAAATCCGCTACCCTTTTCAAAGCAGTCATCATTTGAAATGGCTGGAAAAAAACAATGGAAAAATAGGGAAACGCGAATCTCTCTCTCTCTCTCTCTCTCTCTCTCTCGGTAGGGTTTTTGCTTCATGATCGGGAGGCCAGGGTTCGATTGTCGTTCCCGGCGCCGCGTCAATCCTAAAATGTAACTGTTCCTTCAGCAAGCGCCCGGCACTAGTAGTGAAAGTCTCTTGTCTTTCGAATTAGACCTCAAAAACCGAGGTCCATGCAGTAACACGGTGGGCGTTGGCAAGATTAAAAAAAACCCTACTGCCTCGGCTGTAAGCGTCATGCATAGGTCAAAATTTGGAGCATTTCACCTAATGCAGGTGCTGTCTCCATATGAGTGAAGAAATTCTCGAATTGGACGTTAATCAAAAAAATTAATCAATCAGTTTCTCTCTCTCTCTCTCTCCCTCTCTCTCGTCCATTTTTCTGTGTAAAACAACTTATGTTATTTGCTTTTTATATCTTTGAGATGCAGTTAAGTTTATGTGTACTATCTTACGACATAGTGGTATTCTACAATATTCCCATCTCTTATCTTCATCTGTCGTGTAGCACCAAGGGCCCTGTGGTTCTCTGTCGGGGTTTCTGCAGTAATTTTTACTATTCTTAAGGGTGTTATTAAACTTGTGTTGATGGGGATACTGCGAGGCCCAGGCTTGACAATCTCGTCCAGACAAGGTGTGATCCACGTTTCCAAAATACTCCATACCGAGTGTTGTCATTTTGCACTCCCTTTGTCCTGGAAAAGGGCAAGGAAAGGAATAACAACCACAATTGCTTTCTACAGTATATCTTCATTTTTATACTGTTTAAAACTGTCTTAGATGGTATTTTAAATGAGTAATATGTGAAAATAAAATAAAATTGATTCGATAAATCACAATGAATCAAAAGGTTATCTAATGCAAGCAAAGAAGCCTATTCAAGAACACTTATAAAGCCTCACGTAGTATCGTAGTATCTTTGATAAATAAACATTTTAATGAAGTTAATTAATGTGGCTAATTACTATTTCAAGAGTTATGAATTCTACATTTTTTTCTTTAAGTGTCGTCACCATCCAAAAGGAGGGGGGTGACTTGTTCTTATTTTTTTATATAATTCATTTTCTTTACCAAAAAAAAAAGAAAAGAATATAACATTTCTTTAAAGTACTAAAGTACTTTCTCTACAAGTTTCCTCTTCGTGATAATTGTTAAAAATTGTCGATACAAAAAGTAAGTGTTTGTTTTTAATTCCGGTTTTTTGTTTTTGTTTTTTGTTTTTTTTTTTTTTTTTTTTTTTTTTTTTTAATGGACTATGAGCTTGAAAACTGTTCGTTATCTCCATATTTCATATATCTCCTACAACGAAACACAGATAGGAACTAGCTAGAAAACAAAGATATGAAGTTCTCGAAAATGAAAACAAAATTGTCAATTTACAAGCCTAATACAGATGTATGAAGAAAGGTTTACTTTTTCTTACTCTTATGATAGCCGACCTATTTTATACTCTTATAATTTAATATTCTGATTGTAACGCGCAATTTGATTGGATAAAAAATTTACTTAATATTGTATAAATTGGGTTACCTACGTCACAATGACTTGCGTCAAAAACGTATCGATCCGCCTGACGTTACATTTAAATTCTGTACAATTTGATGTCATTTTTTATAGGCAATAATCTTTTTTCTTACACTAAATGAATGAAAATTAAATTATAAGGAATGATTTTAATAACTACCCAATTTCTACGGTATAAAATGGGTTGGAACAGTTTACGCTTTTTTTATAAACCGCTTCGCGGTTTATAAAGCGTAAACTGCCAAAACCAACTTTATACCGTATAAATCGGGTGGCTATTAAATTCATTCCTTAAATAATTTCTGAAAAATGTGAGAGGAAGAAAACTTGCATGTGGCCTTCCTCGACATTTAGATACTAGTCGATGAGGTTTTATTAATGAAGAATAGTTTTTCTCATTTATACATCGACTTGATATATCCCACTGAACATGAAAAGAGATGTCAGAGTCTGCACTTTTTTCATATTTGTACTTTTAACTGATTGAAGATTAGTGTCCAACTAACAACTTAACTACTGTAAAAGTAGGGGTGTTTTTTTTTTTACCGATGGTCATAATCAACGATTTTTCCTTAAAAAACGGTAGATTTTATTAGCGAGAAGTAATTTTAGCAACTTTATAAAATGTTTAGAAAGAAAAGTTTTACCTCCAATGCAGGATGAATTGTTAGCGATATTTTATGTCATAAAGGGAACAACTTCAGCTTTTTCATAGTCAACTTCCCCTATTGATTGAAAAAAAAATATTCCACTGTCACCTGCATATAGTATTTATGACTATCAACTGATTCAGTACAATTTTATTTTTCAAAACGAGGTAGGCTACTGACAAATAAAAAGATGTAACAGGCCTTTCAACAATATCGTATAAAAGCAGCTTTTTGCAAATTTTTTGGTCATTTCAATGACCTTGAATGCAAAAACAGCCTATCGTTGGGTCGCATTTGACTGACAAGGTTAATAAAATTGTTAGATCATTGTTTTTACACTGAGTTTGACTACAGGCTATTCAGTTTACCTGATCAAATACACAGAGCTCATGGAGGATATGACTGTCGAAGGGGGTTGCTTATTCCCCCAAGGCACCAGATCCCACCTCTTGTGTTTCTAGCGATCCGTGCTTTTGCCCTGTTTATTATAAGTCCCCTACCGATGAAACTGGAGGGGATTATAGGTTTCCTCTGAGTCTGTCCGTCCGTCTGTCTGTCTGTCTGTCTGTCTGTCAGTCTGTCCCACTTGAATTGGTTTTCTGCACTTTTTTCTAAACGCTTGCAGATATTGAGCTGATTTTTTGTATGTAAGTGTATCTTGATGAGTTACAGATCAAGTTTGCATTTTGCTACGTTTCAATGATTTTTGACGAAATTTAGATCTTTTCAATTTTTCAGGGTTTTCCGCATTTTTTTTTTCTAAACGCTTGCAGGTATTGAGCTGATTTTTTTGTATGTGACTTTACCTTGATGAGTTACAGATCAAGTTTGCATTTCGTTCCGCTTCATTGATTTTTGACGGAGTTATGGCATTTTCAATTTTTAACGGGAACCAGATTACACTTGCCGATAGGGGATTAGTATTGCTAATGCAATACTTTCAGAATGCTTGTTTGTATTGTTTACAGTTTTTAAGTGTTTAATCCCAGTATTTTCATTACTTTTATTTTTGTAGGGTTGTGTATATTGTGATATTACTGAACTTATAAGCAGCACTTTATGATGAAATGTGAAACTCACTGTACAGGTCCTTGACCTCTTTTGGTTCTAAGTAATGAGTTCTTTGACCCTAGCGTTAAGTATCGTTCATTAATATGAACTTTGAACTGTTAATGTTGAATATTTGACTTCAATATGAAAAATAAATAAATAATTATGACTTCTGAATAAAACAATGATGTCACTTGGGTATTGAAGTTGAATATAGCAGGAATGTAAATTGTTTACAAATAGTTCGATATAGTTATGTATATTCATCTACCTAACGTGCATCCAATAACAAAACCTAAAAAATTCATTTAAATGTAAAATATCTTTAAAAAGGATTTTGACATGCAGAGGAGAACCAGGACGTGTTGAAGTAGACTTTTAAAAAAAGAAAGCTATATGTAGAGGAGGCTCTTGACACGAATTATGGTAACAACAAAACCACATCTTGCCTCACAGTAATAACTACGAAATTATTAATGAGAACAAACCTATTTGGTTTGGCAAACGTTTATCATACATGTAACACTTAATGCTTTCAAGAACCTTGTTGCATTTGGTGAAAATATTAAAATAGGGCATGCTTTTTCATGAATATACTTCTAGAGTGGTATCGAAAACATAAAATGTGAAGATAACGAATAGTGACCAATCCCATAAATCCTGTCCAAAAAAATGAAGAATCATGAACAAGACTAAAACAGGTACCATGGAAACACCAGAGATGGGATCAGGTGCGAAGGTGGAAAAGAAAAACCTCGAGTTGACACAAAACATGTACATAGATGTATATCATGAGGCTCATCACCCACAATGCTCACCAGAAACACACTACAATCCTGTTTCCTTGGTACTGACTTTTACAACTTAAGAATGACTATTTGGTGCCTTGCTGTTGTATACGACATCTTTTAATATCCCTTACATTCATGTTATGCCAAACGTATTGCACCCTGTTCTACCTTACACCAATGGCAAAGAGTCCATGAGATAATCAAAGCTAAATATACAGAACATATTAGCTCTATTGATTTTAAAAGCGTTCAATTCATACATTTCTACATATTCATATTAGAAATTGAATGCATTTGCATACAAGGATGATTTGTGTAACGTTCGATTGATTAGTTAACTGCTTCTGGGAAGTCGAATGTGAAGAATTAAAAAGATGGCGGACATATTTAATTTTGTCCTAAAACATTTTTCACCTTTTGAATTCAGATAAAGTGACCTTTAAGCAAATGTAAAGAATTTTAAATAAATCTATAAGAATAATAACAAAATAATTCAAATTTATGAAGGTTGCGGGGTTATAAAAACTTGACAGTGTGTCTGTTCAATACAGATAGTAAATTATAAATGGTAATCGGAGTTATTGCAGCCCGGAGGACCGGGCTGCTCTATACATATAAGTTTAAGAGTTGGTATATGGGGATTGAGGTGGGAGAAGTTATTCAGAATTAAAGGTTTTCTAAACATTAAAAAGATTGTTAATCAGATGTTCTTTTCCTTTATAAATTACGAGATACACAATATATTTACTTCCATAAAGTGAATCTGTAAAAATATATATGTTTTTCATATTTAATATATAAAGATGCTTATCATTTACTATCGAAAAAACGACAGGTCCCTTTTTTTAGAACATCGAATTTTACTTATCGCATAAAAACGTAAAAATGTACTTTACACAGTTCGTGTTTTATATTCTTAAAGTGAAAGATATTTTTGAAAATAGGTGATGCATGTGTCTGGTTTCAAATTATATTTTATGCAGCCAACATTTACTTGAGGAATTGATAAAGTTTAAAAGGGTGTCGTTTTTGTTTGATTTTCATCCGACTATAAGTTTTCAAAATATTCTCGACTATCGTCTCCATCATTTAGACGCATGCCTTTTTCACACATATCGAAGCGGTTTGATGATAAAGACTCATTTCCATTGTTTACTTTATTTATTTCCCGGGCGACAATTGATGGTTACATCAATGTTTTCTTGTCAGATATGATATGTGCTTCCATTCTCAACCTAGAATAAATCGTCATGAAACACTGAACTACAACTAATTTTTTTTTTCTATAAATTATAATAACATACGCCTTAAGGTAAAAAAAAAATAGAGACTGAACTTGTTTTCTCATGAAAGTTTTTCAAATTATTATTACTAAATAAAATGGTCAAGGTAAAATACATACGTGGTGTACTTTAGAAATAATAGATCTGTCCTAGAACTATTATTCACACTTTATTACTATAGGTAGGTAACAATTATACGATTTATACAATAAGCAATAGAAAAAAATCAGTCTAGTTATCCTCAAGGCTGGAACAAAATTCAAGGAGTTATTATTTCAATAGTTACCCCTTATCCTGTTAGGAGAAGTTATATTGTATAAATTGCATAAAAGGGTTGAGAAAAAAGCTTAAATTATGGAACATCTATAGAATGAGGAGTGAATAGCGGGTTCTTAAGTATATTCATCAAATTCATCCACAGTACAAAAAATGTATACATTTGGAGTTTTTAATTTTAAGAGTATCGTGTCATCCTTTTTCAAGATTTAGATTATAATCATATAAGATTTCGAGTATGTAGAGAATTTTGTTACTGAGTATGTAGAGAATTTTGTTACTATTATAGTTATTGTGGTGCAAAATTTAAGAATGTATTCATAGCATAAAGATTGTTAATAATAAGCAACATAGGCAATCTCACTTGCAGACATGGCCACAAAGACATTTGTTTTGAATAAAGACCATGTCGATATGAAACGTGCTGTATATATTAACTTAAATAATTTTATTGTGTTCATGGTGTATTTAAGTTATTTATTGCATAAATAACGCTATGTGCAAATTTTAGCATGACATTGTGGACAATATATCCAGTGTATTTAAACCTTTAATCCCAAAATAATAATTTGATGCAAATGACATGATGTCTCTTATGACTTACCCTACTAAAATGTTACCTACCTGAGCACATGCGCCCCATTAAAAGAAACAGTATTATCCGGTTTCTTGATGCCATATTGAAAGATATTTTAGTCCAGTTTTAAGAGGAGTCAAGTAATGTTATTTGATGCGTAAACACAATGCTGTGTATGTTTAATTGTGATATGTAAGACCTTTATAAAACAGTGGAGCTAGAGATGATTAATCATGTAACATTCTTATTAAAAAAAAAAACTCTACTAGGCAATGTATTTCACAATTCACTTTTAATTTAAATATGACGCAACTTATGGTTCTTATTTATTCAACTTAAAGTCATTAGGAAATTTTGTCGTAAAGTTCAATTGCACTGATCTTAGCATTTACAAGCACTTAAAAAGAAATAACGAGGATGTAGTTTCGGATAAGAAAAATGAATGTATTTTTGAGACAGGCATCATCGGAGATTGACCAAAACAGTACAGCATATCTTTTGTTTAGTCATATATATATTCGCCGATCAAAGGTTGTAAATTTAATTAGATTTTATATTAAGGATCAACGCTATGGTATGTAACAGGCTATTACAGATGTCAGTACATTCTTCCAAACAATTTTTTCTTCAAAATTTAAAGTTTCTGTCAACTAATGGTAACTACAGGACATTTCTCTACACTTTGAATTTTCTTTTTTCACAGCTTTACAAATTTGATTTCCAGATTTCTTGAATCTAAAATATATAAAATTTACTTTCTTTGAAAAACTCGTATACAGTGTACCTATAGACTAGTATTTGATACCTGAAAGATAGTTACATCTTTGATTTTATTTTTATTAACACAATTCATTTTACACGAAATACATTCCAGTAAATACATGTACTTTTAAATAAAGAATATAAATAGTGTTCAAGTTTATTTCTTCTTTTAATCTTTGTTTAAAAAGCATTTCTTTTTGGACACGATAAATAAGTACAATGATATTCTTTACATTATAACTTATTTATACATGCTATGGAACAAACGCTTTACATATTATTGCAGGTTGGCGCTCGTTTCGTGTTATGGAGATTCGGGTTCGTATCTTTCGCGGCTCCGCTTCCAATGTATGACGTTTAACATAGGAAGAAATTGTTTGTTTGTTTGTTTTTTGTTTTTTTTTAGGGGGGGGGGGGGCAAGGTCCCGTGTCTCGGTAGGTTTTTGGCACGACAAAGAACCTTACTGCGACGACCGTAAGTGCGATTCATAGGTCAAAAAATTGTGGCACTTACCTAAAGTATGTGACGTCTCTACATAAGTGAAGGATTTTCGAATGGGATGTTAAGTACATGAAACACACAATTAAGCAATCATTTTATTGTTTTCTCTTAAGCGAAACGAGTATAATAAAGCAAAAGGCATGATCTGCCTACCATACTTGCATCATTTGTTTTTTTTTAAATTTTCTGGCATAGAGCCAAAGAATTAATTTAAGGAAATCCCCCCTCCTGTGATGTCATAGGTTTTAGCAAAAACTGTTATTAATTTGAATACATACCCAATAGAAAAATATTTTTTGAAAGAATGTTTTTCAATGAGTGTAATGAAAAATATTGTAAAGTGAAAGAGTTAAAAAAATGAATCTTTTCCTTATTTAATCAATTATTTAATCCTTAAAAAAATGTTGCTAAGGCCAGTAACTTTTATATATATATATATATATATATATATATATATATATATATATATATATATATATATATATATATATATATATATATATCTTCATTCAGGCATTTTCTAAATTAGACTTCCAATGTAAAATGGTTTCACTGATATTCACAATTCAAACATATTTATAAAGTAACAATTATTTTGGAACTTTCAGCATCAGAATCATGTATATGAACCAGTGTTTACGTAATTTTTAAAATACTATTTACTAAAATGTACGATTTTTTTATGCTGACATATACTTCTTGTTTATGTATGTCTTACGTCTTAAAAAATATGGCAACATATACATTTTTGGTGATTATTAATTAATTTAAACTACTAGCATATTCAGTGAAAATAAATGCAGTTTTTCTATTTTGAACCCATACATTTGTGAGTACGGAAATACCTTAAGAAGTAGACTAAAAAATTATTTACTGTGTGATGATATATATCATTTCATGGTTTGAATATCAAACTAAATTGATATATCGACAACGCTTAATCAATATTCAATATTTATTTTCATTCATACGTTGATTCATTAAAACCCTCTGACATCGAAATCTGCAGAGTTTAACACCTATTTCATATTTTAATTGTATAATTGAGATTGGCATTGATGGCTAACTAACAATAAAACGTTTGGGGATTTCAACTTTTCAATCATCAATTCCCCTTATTTCTGTAGCAAAATATTAGCACCTGCATGTGAGAGGTAGAGATATTCGGTTTCAGAAATAAAGTAGACCCACGAAACACAAGTGGTAGGTTCAGGACCTTAGGAGGATTACGCATCTCCTGTCTACCGGTTCCATCCGCATTGATTCCTCTGTAATCCGTAATCAAACTGGTATTTGAACAACAGCCTAACAATAGGTGTGAAACATAATAGTCATAATATCATCGATAGACTGTATTTGAAAAAAAAGGTCATTACATTGCTGACTTTAAACGAGGTTGTAGAAAACACTGAGCAATGAAAAAGTTGAAGATAACGAACAGTGATCAATCTAACAAAAAAAAAATCTACAAATAAAAGAAACTGTGGACAGTACATAAAACACGGACCCTAGAAAATTCAGAGATGGGATCAGATGCGTAAGAGGAGTAAGCATTCCTAGTTGACCGTTCATGCCCGCCGTGAGCCCTATGTTTTGATCAGGTATTTTGAACATTCCGTAGTCAAAATTAGTATAAAATAAAATTCCTAACAATTAGTATGTAACATGTCAGCCAAAATACGACGCAATAATAGGTTAAATTTGCTAACAAGGCTATAATAATGACCATAGAATTTACGGATTGCTGACTGTAAACAAGATTGTTGAAATCCCTGTAACATCAACTTATCTGTCAGTAACCTGCCTCTGTTAAAAATGATCGTACTCAAAACATGCTCTTGAATATCGCATAAGCTGGGAGACGTCAACAGATATGCAGGTGATACGGGAATATTACTACTTAAATAACATTCTGTCAGTAGCATGCCTTGATTTAAAAATTATTTGTTCTAAGAACATTCTGTGTGACCGGTCGGCAGGGGATGCTCACTCCTCCATGGCACCTGATCCCACCTCTGATGTTTGGAGGTCCGTGTTTGCTCTGCTCCTATTTTGTATTGTTTAATGGACTTTGAGCTTGAATACTGTTCCTTATCTCCACATCTCAAATCAAATCAGTTGGGAGACATGAACACCATATGTAGGTGACTGTGGAAATAGCGATAGCTGACAATCGAGTAGTAGAATTTATAGGATGTTAATGTCTCCAGTTGACAAGCAGGATCATGTTCTACATACGATCGGTTTCTCGATCTAGACGTCCTTTTGACTAATAATTTGATGTTACAGGGGCATCAAAATCTCGACTATGTCCACAATTTGCAAATATTATGGTATTCAAAATGACACTGTCTGCAGATATAAACAATATGACAAATTTTTCTAACAAACTGTAAGGCTTTTGTTTTCTGAATTGTCTACAGATTACTCTGTTTACCTGACTAATCCAAAAGGCTCCCAGCAGGTGTCACAGATTGACAGGGTTTGTTTGTCACAGATTGACAGGGTTTGCTTGTCACAGATTGACAGGGTTTGTTTGTCACAGATTGACAGGGTTTGCAGATTGAAGCATATTGTTTAATAAAAAAATGTCTTTACAGAGTAGTAGCTTACGTACGTGTAGTATATATGTACCAAAGAAAGCAGAGTAGAGAAGTAGAGTACAGTTATTTATCAATATTATTTACCAACTGGAAATCTTCAATCGTTATATTTACAATAAAATATAAACATGATAATCAAATTTTCATAGACTAATTATACCATTGGTAGTGATATACAATTTATTACATAATGCAAAGAACATTTTACGTCTGGAAGGTTTACTTAGTAATTTTTTTTATTAAAAAAATTTGCAGAGATATAAAAAAAACTTTTACTGGTTAACTATATTTCCTTCCGTAATACAGTAATTAGGCTTTCTAATTAGAAAGGGCGTCATAATTTGACCTTCATGAATGCTCTTCTTTTATGGATTCTAGAAAAATAATTTAAATTTACCCTGAAGGACTATTTTTCCCTTGGTTTTGGATATCAATTGCACATATATTTGAGACCTCTCTGAGAGTTTCAATATTGCAATGTTCATGATGGTGAAGATTTAATATCCGATTTCAGGTGTTTTATTTTCCCTGTAGAGAATATTAAAATATTTATCATTCCAAGAAATGGAAGAAAGAAAATACATTTTTATCCCCAAAATTGAAAAAATGGAAAATCATTTTTTTTATGTAATCTAATAGAAAAGATTGATGATTTAGTTCTGCTGTTTTTATAAACTTTTCAAATCTTTATCTTAATCTTTTTCCTCATCCCTTTTAATAAATGAAAATCTAAACAGAAATGATTTTTTTTTATACCTTGCCTCATGAAATGGTCGGGTAAATATATTTCTGCATAAGAAGACGTAAAAGAAAAACGATTTTCGGATTACAAGTGTAAAGTTTACATTGTATTAGGATTTTTTTAAATTTTGATAAAATTTCATACTTTGTAATTAACTCCCATTTCATATTCTTTAACGTAGCTTTTAAAATTAGATCTGACAATTGTTAAAACACAAAATCCAATCCCGAAATTGTGAGTTATATTACAAATTAATATATATTTGGCCACGTGAACAAGGGAAAGAAATGTCGTCCTTCAACTGAAATCCGTTTAGTGCCTTATGAACGTAATTACAATGTGTATCTTTACCCAGGCATACTGTCTCATTTTTATCACTTGATAATGGGGGGTAGAAGATCATTAGAAGGGTAATATCTTTTTGCATGCAATTGGGTCATTGTGTAAATTTAGAAGCTAGCTGAGTGATCCATTTTATTGAATATTAAAGACAAACTTTACAATTCACCATAGTTGAATACCCCACTTGTTTTCAATACCTACAATAAACAGTTTTTATCTCT